AAAAAGTTCTGATTTTTGAAAAAAAAAATATAAAATCTGGTTTTAGAGATTGAATTTTCAAAAGTAGGGAAGGATGTAATTTCCACATGTTATTTACTTCAAAAACATTGAGTTATATTACACAGGTTAGCCTTATAACTCAAGGCAAGGCTTAGCCTCATCATTGAGGCGTGACTGTCGGCCTCATCACTTAAAAGCAAGGCCCAGCCCAAGGCTTCATCACTTAGACCAGGACTCATGGGGGTCGGCCTCATCATTGAGGCATGAATGTTCGCCTCATCACTTAAAGCTAGGCTTGGCCCAAGGCTTCATCAGCCTCGATTTGTCCATGTGCTTCTTATGTAGCACCGAATCCCGTATTGCTCTTACATGCAATCGACCAGGACTCCATGTAAGATGGAGGTATAACACAACTAAAACCTATATTCGTTTTAAAGAACTACATTGGAAAAGAGAACAACGAAGTTATAGAGAGTAGCGAACGTATCTAATTCTTTGAAAAATAATAGATTTGAGAATTAAATTGAAGCAAAATATTGAATTAATATAATATTGCTGGTTACCATCAATCATGGACATTCCATGTCCAATTTTCATAATCATATCATATTGCGTGACAGAGATGCAACGGTACAAGCGCTCAATTATATGTGTGTTAGTGTCACCTAACAAATATGTCGATCTTATCATGGATTTGGGTGACAAAAGGAGATAATTAGAGCAATATTCGGCTAGAACCATGCCAAATTGAGGATAAAAACCCCATGGAGGATTTCTTAGTCCTATGTTTGAAGTTATTCATAGTTTCTTGATATAATTGTAGCAACTGAATGATTTTTTGTTGGACCAACCTCAAAGGGCAAGCCGCCATTTTATTCGTGATAACTTCAATAACAGGAAATATCAGTTGTTTTTTTTTTTTTTTTAACATTTCATTTTAAAATGGATGTAGCAGTCAAAAAGTATAATTCCATTGCATCAAAATTTTCTTTGATAATCAAATTAGAATCGTTGATTACTTGAACATTTTAATTCTATTAATATATATGCATCCAATGTAAATGACATACAAACAGTGAAAAAACTTTATAAATTGTATAAACGTTTTGTGTTATAGAATTACAAACAAATGTAAGAGAAAAGATCCTATAATATTACAAACATACTACTAAGAAAATAAAATCACATCATCTCTGCAATATGGAAACTATCACAATATCATGAAAATTGAAAATATTTAACCATCGCCACACAATTTTAATTCTAAAGGAATGCTTATTTATCTTGTACCAGAAAATACTGCCATACTATTTAATTTCACTTGCCCTGCCAATAATCTCATGAAGAATGGGTTTCGAATCAGAGATAGGTGAATAAGATGGATCTGTAGTTGCCACGCTTGTTATGTTTGATGGATTGCCCTGACTAATATCAGTTCTTGAAGTTGAACTATCCATGTTCAACATAAAGGTTGTTGCATCATTGAATGTCCAGTCAGTCAGGTATCCGGGCTTTGAAGTGATTGGGGGCACCTCAATGTCTCCAGAAAGCATTGACACCACACGTGACATTGAAGGCCGCAAACCGGGCGATGTTTGACTGCACAGAAGAGCCACTCCTATAATTCTTTTTACTTCGTCCTCGTTCACTTCGAATAATGTTCTGTCAAGGAGTTCCATTTCTTGGTTTGTCTCTTGAAGATTCCAAGCCTGCAAGCATATCGTAATGAAATTAGTAACCACCAAGTCAAAGATGGTGGAAAACATATAATGACATTTGAAAGTTCGACCACAGAGGTGTGCAAAATTAGGTTTTGCAAACACAGAGAAACTAGAATTCTTTTTCTCATCCTGTCTCCTCTCACTTGTTCCATTAGCCAAGAAGAAAAGTGGTTAAAATGAAAAGAAGATGAGTTCTTTTATTACTAAGGACCTCTCCAAGATGAGAGTTTCTATTCCTGAGAATTAGGAAGGAGAAAGGCGACGACCTTCCTAAATATTACATTGGGTTGTAAAGAACTAACTGTTGAATCTTGTGCCAAAGAGAATGTAAGAAAGCTTTTTCAAGTCATAGGTGCTTGATTATTCAGGCGCATAGTTCATCTTTCTTTCTGTCCTTGATATAGCTTCTTCATTTCATTCCCGGGCAGTGAACTGGGGAAGAAAACAAGAGGATAAACCTCAGAAGGCTTAATCTCATTAATGAGGCCTCTTGTATCTTAGCCTATCTCTAATCCCTTAAATCTTTTGATTTCTCCATACAAAGAAAATTGTAGATTTTCTTATTTTCCACCAGGAGGAAATTACACTACATTGATACACGTGGAAACAAATGGAGCAAAAACGGAAGAAAGAAATTACCTAAATGAACAACTGAACAAGTGTAAAACAAGCATATTCATCAGAAAGAATTTTTTTATTACGTAATTAATGTCTCAACACTCAACCACGCTCACGTGGGCTTATTTCCCATTACTATAATCTTCAAATGGTTAAAACTCCAAGTAGATGTACATTTCTCTCGAATTCCAAACAAAACGAAATTTTCGTACCAGATATCTACCACAAACAAATGAAGCTGAAAATTTAACATTGAATCGAACTGTAATATAAGTGAACTCCTATTATTTTGTCTCTCTCTCACACACACACACACACACACACATAAGCTACCAGAATTAAAACTGTAATATAAGTGAACTCCTATTATTTTGTCTCTCTCACACACACACACACAAGCTACCAGAATTAAAACTGCAAATAAGAGTAGAAAACTGATATTTTGGAATTTTTTTCCATAACTTCAAGTTAATCACAGCAAAAAAACTGAAGAAAACATGGTAAGATGAAACATTTTAAAATCTTATGGTATCCGGGATTTTTATTAAATTCTAAAGGATCAATAAGCACGAAAGTTCAAAATGCAGATAGACCATACCCATTCAAGAAGATACATTTTATCGTCTTCCAAACTTGAGTCAGAATTTGGCCTTCCACTAACAATCTCTAGAACTACAACTCCAAAGCTAAATACATCAGCTTTCTCGGTAAGGTGTCCACGCATGGCATATTCAGGTGCAAGATACCCACTATATGAGTGAAACATGAAAACTCAGCAATAAATCCACCCTGCCAGCCTACATTTAAACTGGAAATGTAGGCCACTAAACAAAAGATTAATACAGAATGAAGGAACATTATGGATTTAGAAATTTTGTGGATCATACATTGTTCCAGCAACGCGGGTGCTTATATGGGTCTTTTTGTCATCATACAATTTGGCCAGACCAAAATCTGAAATTTTAGGGTTCAGATCAGAGTCGAGCAAAATGTTGCTGGCTTTAACATCTCTGTGTACAATTCGAAGTCGAGATTCCTCGTGCAGATAAGCAAGACCTCTTGCTACTCCCAAGCATATCTCAAAGCGTGTTGGCCAGTCAAGAGATAAACTTCTATTCCCTGCTCCACCAAAGCATAAAGATTCAGTCTCCTGAATATGAAGTTAATATGTAGCGTGGACAATCTTTCTCATTATTACCAAATAATACCTGATCAAGACTCTTGTTTACGAGATACTCATAAACAAGCAACCGTTTATCTCCCTCGATGCAGCATCCATACAATTTTACAAGGATACGGTGCTGCACAGCTGATATAGTAGCAATCTCTGCAACAAAATGACTCTTTCCTTGACGGGACGCAACAGACAATTGTTTTACAGCAACAACTCTTCCATCCTCAAGTGTTCCCTATTGGTCACAATATAAAAAGTTCAGATGTAATAATCTTAAAAATAACGAAAAGTAAATCAAACAGGAATCAATAGGATCTGAATAATTTCATACATATCAGCTTCTGATACTATTATAGGTTGATATACAAAAGGTAAAGGAGAAAATAACAATGGAATGTGAGCTAAACATTGAGTGATGCCAACACTGTGAAATACTAAAAACTAACATGGGCTTGTTCATCACCTTTCTTTCATCTTGGTTCTTCTCATACTTCATGTGTTGGTTTATTCAAGCGAGGTTTTTAATTGTTTCGCCAATCTATAATCTTTGATTTTAAAAATTTTCAGAATAGAACTTACCCTGTACACAGGTCCAAATCCTCCCTCTCCAAGCTTATAATCAGGATTGAAGTCATCCGTTGCAGCTCTTAGCTCCGCATAATTAAATGTGTAAGGTCTGGTATCCATTCCTAAGAATTCTGCAAACTCACAGAGACATATGTTCATTTCCAAAGGGCAGTGATTATTCATCCATCCCCAAGCTGACTCATTCCTTATCATCTACAATATAGTTCCATACAAGGATAGGCATTAATAGTCTCGGTATTGAGTAAATATGCATTGACCTACCTCTCTCATTTGGGTCATTTATAAGGTAAATTATGTCTCAAGTTAGACACAGAAAAAAAAAACAGAGAGAGAGAAAAAAAGAAAAAGAAAGAAATGAACACTTCTAGTCTCGTGTCTAAATGAGCATTGATAGAGCACTTCTGGTTCTACTGTTCTAGCAATAACTAATAAACCAAAAGCATAGAAGTAACAGTAACTCCTGAACTAGAAAGATACTCAGTCCACTATACTTTTCCCTTCTTACCTTCATCCTCATAGCTCTTCTTCTTTCTTCTTCTCTGAGCCAAATAGTATGCTACAAATACAGAAAGAAAGATTACAGCTCCGACTGCAACTACAATCCCTACAATCAGGCCAGTCCCGTTGTGTTTCCTACTTGGAGGTCTAACGGTGGGAACGAAATCTGAGGAAAACCTTAGTGATCAGCACTCGCACCTATATATTAGGAACCAGAGTAGCACATTGTTGCCAGTTATCAAAATATTTCTGAATTCATATTTACCTGGGGTGGCACTTATTGCCGAAATCAAAGGTCCATATGTACCTTGAGCAGGTATACAACAAGTCCCTTTTCCAGCCCAGAAGAGATGAATTTCAAGGTAGTTTTCAGACACTTCTACTTGCAATTTCCTCTTAACAGCTCTCAAAGCAGTCCCACCAGCCTCTTTTAGTACGTCAAAGTCTTTTAGCTCCAGTTTTCCCTGGACCCCACAATGTGAAAATTATCAAATATCAAATAGCCCATCAAGTACCACGGCACTGATATCAAATATCAAACAGCCCATCAAGTACTACATGATGAAAGGTGAACTGGGGTCCTAGACAAAGATGCGGCTTGAAGAATTTGTACCAAATACATGATTATCAATCACATATACCCACCTGATATTTTTCCTTTTTCATTTTCATACTATCCTATCAATTGATGATAGTAAACCATTGTTTAGCTGAAGCACAGTGTAAAATATGAATGCTAGTGTTAATACGAATTCATTTTTTAATACAGACCTGAATATATACATCAAAAACACGCTTTCCAAGACTCCTCCAAGTTCTAGTGCCTAGAATTTGGATCTCTGCAAACTGAAGTGTCACAGTGTAATTACCATTCTCAAGACCCAAGCCGTAGTATCTCAAAGATCCAGCAGAAATTCGTGCAGTTTGAAACAACTCTGACTCCAAAGTATTCCTGTATTGGGGTGAATTGCTACCAGAAGGCAGACCAACATTGCTAACTGCCCACCTGTTTGTATCGATCGTGTAATGTGTTGCCGGACCAAGACTCTCACTATCCATCTCATACACAATCTGATCTGATGAACGAATTTGTGGACCGCCACATTTAATTGCAAAGCTGGAATCTACAAACCATCATCAGGGATGAACTTGTCAATACTCAATGTAACTTCGCAGAAATGCTTGTTCTAAGAATTTGTGTGGAAACAACTTTGTGAACGATATTTTGGGCCTGTTTTGCATACTTTTGAAGAAATATTTTCCTTAAAAAATTCTGAGAAGTGCTTGTTCTAAGAAATTCTGAAGGAACTTTTGATAATAAGATGAGCAATTATGATTAAGCAGGAATAGGTTGTCAGGGCTGTTTGCTATAAAACAAATTGTCCTTGTTGCTGAGCAATAATTAATGTCTTTTTTATAAAACTAAGCCATGCACAAGTTGGCCAATTTTATTAGATGTTTTCTACTATTGTATTGTGAAATAAAATGCTCTAGCACTATACCCAACAACTGAATACCTTGACAACATTATTATGCCATATCAATGTCTATACAACATATGGTCAAAATAACAATATGAAACACACATGCACACACATAATGTGTTAAACTGCCAACAATATCCTTTTAATGTGTCATGCTAAAATCTATGTGCATATAGAAATATAATAAAATCCACAGTGTATCAAAACTGCCTATGGGTAAGATGCTCCTTGCATCTTTCTACCTTAATCAGTGACAACTTCAACCACATTTATGCATTAAGATCCACAAACTCGTAATACAAAATTTGCAAATAATTTTAATAATGTTATTTCACAGTTTTCAAAACAAATAACCCACAGCATCAAATGTTAATTTCTCTATAGATAAATTTAATAAATTAGCATGTTCAACAATGGCATATATTCTGACGCACATATATACAACAAACAATATCTCGTAATTTTACTTTTAACTCAATATTTAGGTACTGGTGATGCTGTTGGTGATGAAGGAAGGAGTGAGGTGAATCCGTGGGGAACAAGTGGAAGAAAGAAGTGTAAAGGTGTCAAAATACAATACGTAGAAAAACTTCACTAATTAGCCATAGTCAGGAATAGAACACTTGAGCAGAAGATAATGTGACAATTGGAAAAATAGAAAGTTGACTGTGGAAATGGAAAAGACAGCTTTTGTTTAGCAAAAAACAGGGAAAAAGCTAGCTTCTACTTATTTGCAGAAATGCAAAGCAGGCTGTTAATAGTTTCCATCATGTACATAGGTTTTTCATAATGTATACAAAGTTCTGCTCCCCACAACTATGTTATATTCTTTGTTTATAGCATGTTTGGCTAATTTAAAGCTCCATAAAATGAGTTTTTTTTGCATTAATGAACTCGTGCTACCAAAAAGAACTCCTTTCGAGTAGTTGGCCAAACATCCTATTAGTATTCACAATAGGAAAAACAAGTTCCTTATTAGAATTTTCAGCCTATTGAAACCTTAAAAAGTTCCACATTTGGAATAAAACTTATCACTTACAGGTAGGTGATCCTCGACCACAAGGAAAATTCTGTTGCAGACAATTCAATCCGGAAGGCAAAGCACTAAAAAATGCAAGAGTGAGAGTGATTAGGTTAAGTATCATCTTTGAGATAGAGAAGCATCAAGCATTAATCCTGAAACAGAAAGAAAGAAGTGCACTGGTAGTGAAACATGCATGCAAAGATTGTCATAAATACCTAAAGAAAGCACATGATAAAGGCATTAAAAAAACACATAATAAAGACCGAATGATTTTACTATAATTTTGTATGCTCCTTTTTGTATTAAGAACCATGGTAGCATAGACTTTCCTACATAATTTCTTCAGGTTCGGTGGCCAAGAAAACTCATTTTGTCCGCAAATTATTTCTTTCTCCTATTTACTAATATAAAATTTTCCAAGTCATTAATAAATTGTTATATGATTATTAATTTTACAAGTACAGAGAATGTATGTGAAGCTGCTACCTGCTATGACATATGACATATTGACGATGAGAATGTGAACCAAATTATTTGCGGTTGGACATACATCAAGAAGCGATTTGCAACTAACAATCATATTATCTAATCTTTCTGCGAAATGGTTACTGATAAGTTGCCATAACCAAAATTCCATAGAAAGATGAAAGCCAACAGCATAGCTTTAGCTATTGACCGATCTTGCCATTGTTTAGTTATGAAGAAAATACATGTGGATAACCGATATAAACATCACAACAGAAGCTCACAAAAGGTAAAGCCTAGGAAGTGAATCCATATAAGTTTTATAACTGTGAGTGCTTAAAATATTCACCTTCCATTAGAATTGTCTATGGTGAAGCGGTTGGCAACCAAATTACTGCATAATAAATTCAAGTAAGATTTCTATGTTAATGTTAGAAAATACAGTTTAAATGATGAGACTTGTCGAAAGAAACCATAAGGCAGAACAATGAAAAGAAAATATAAAGAATATGTAGCATCCTTGTTTTCATTCATACATACAGTTGTAAATTTTGTTCACTGATCCACGTAGGGAAGCTCCCAGATAATGAATTGTATGATAAATCTCTGCAAGGAATATAAAAATGATGTTAGGCAGATATTCCATTTTACAAATGACTTTCTTTAGTTCATGTTTGGTAGAAATTAAAATTCAGATTTTAATCTAAGTCAAAGTCAACATTTAATTTTAACCATATATTTCGAGGGATCCACAAATTTTTAACCACACATTTCATTAAATTTTGTCAAAATCTACTAAAATCTAATTTTAATCTCCACCAAACAGGGGCTTAATATGAAAATATATGTTGTTTTCAATTATTTTTTCTTTTTTGTTTGTGGCATCACATGATGACTGTATAAATACTAGTTAGGTTTACAAATGTAAAGACTCCAATCAGATATCTTCGAATGCAATCAAAGATGTAGTATACTATTATAACTCTTTCGCGTGGGATTACACTGACGTTCATGTGAAGAGGGTAGTCCCAACTTAATACTTGTAATTAAGAAATTTTAATGTGTAAATGAAGAGTACTCATACACAAAATCGCAATAAGTTCAGAAAAAATATGCCTCCAATTAATAATGAGATCGAAAGGCTTAGGATTGTGTCCCGACCTTGGAGATCTAATAATGTATATGAAAAAAAAAATGCAACTTGTAGGAGTTTTTATCAGAACCACGTAAGATATGAACATATGAAGACCAATACTAACATGTTCCGGAGAGTTGGACCCTTTACTGCAGGCAGGGTACCATTCAAATTATTATTACCAAGAAACCTAAAGATGAAAAAGAAAACCAAATTAGCACTATATCTATCCCTCCCAATGCTGCTTTCTTCTCTTTCTTCAGGGTGAGGATTGTTGCAGTGAGGTCTCAATCACAAGTATTGCACGATTTATTACAAGTTAGTGAGTGAACTCAGACTGAAAAGTAAATCTGGGATGCGTCCAATCAAATTGTTGAAGCTCAAATCCCTGAAAAATGAAGTTATAAAAGATTGAAGAGTTAAATTTACCATCAACCTCAGTGGAAGCTTATTACATTATTGAAAGTCATACAACCCAAGAAAACTTACAGCAGTGTTAAACTCCGATAGTCATCAATATTGGAAGGTATGGAACCAGAAATTTTATTATTACGCAAAACTCTGCCAAAAAAGGAACAAGTTCGTAAACAACTTGCCAAAACAACATATAATTTATTGAAAGAAAGAACACGTCAAATTATTGCAGAATTATAAGCTGTGTTATAATACTTACAAGGTGCCTAGAGACGTCATATTTCTAAGGAAGTCCAGTGTAGAGCTTCCATTAGATAGATCACTTATTCTCCTGCTTGTTATATTTTAAAAATAAAAATAATATTAGCTTTGGACAGCTAAGAGAAGAAAGATTTTTGAAATAAACGAAGAAAGAAATAGGCCAACACTCACAGATCATTCAAATAGGTCAAATTGGAAAATGATGGTGGTATTGGCCCTTGAAAGGAGTTTCCTTGAAACCTCCTGCAAACATATCGCATTATAGCTGATGACAAACTATATGTGTGTGTGTGTGTGTGTGTGTGTGTGATTACTGTCTTACAGGACAAGTAGATTTGACCAATTCCCGATAAAGTCAGGAATTTGACCAGTGAATTCATTGTCTGAGGCGTACCTGAAATTCCCAAAAATTTATTTTAGCATACTTGATCAGAAAAGAGGATATAATAAATTTATCGATCACTAAAGAAGAACAAAGGAGCAGAGAGATTATGTTCTTACACTTTCTCCAATCCCGTTAGACTAGAAAATGTTGGGGGTATTGGCCCACTAACTCCAGCGCTATCAAAGTAACTGCCAAGAAAATAATAGGTTTTGAATGAAAAACTGGGAAGGAGCCTTTTTCTTTTTCCTCGCATAAAAATAAATTTGTCTCATCTCATGATACGACTAATAAGATTGAGAAAATTTTTAGATGGTTACAAGTACTACGGTGTAGATTGAAATTGCCAAAAAAACATAAGAAGATAACTAGAATGCAAAAGGCAAATAAGGTACATGTCACAGTTGTCAAAAAGACGTCGTGTGTCAAGGAACATAGAAAAACGGAAAAGACCTAAAAGAAAAATGCTCTTCGCATTGGTCCATGTCTAAGTTCAGAGATGATGTGTGTCTATACAAATGTCAAAGCAGTAAAGCAACATTGAATCCTAAATGATAAAGCGCGAACAACTCGTTGTCATGTAGGAACGAGACAATAAGTGTGAAATGACATCGAAACTTACATTTGAGTAAGTCTTGTTAAATTCCCAAGCTCAGATGGTAGAGGACCAGAGAAATCGTTTGTGTTGAAACTCCTATGCAAGTGGAAATCACAAATAAACAAGTACGTAAATTTATATGTACATGTACGAATGCTAGCTAATTGGGGTTTAAACCTCATGAATAAAACATATAAGTTCTTACAGCGATCTTAAGTCTGTCAACATCCCAAGCTCCCTAGGAAGCTCCCCTGATAATGCATTAACTCCAAGACTCCTAAAGAAAATAATTAAAACTTAGCAATATTTTTAATAACACTCAAACACTGTTGATTAAGTCCTAAATCACAAAAATATATCTTACAAGTACTGTATGCGAGCGAGGTTTCCAATAGATGCAGGCAGTGGACCCGTCAAATAGTTTTGGCCTAGATTTCTGCAATAGAAGTGGGGAAAACACCTGTGTCATCAGCATCTAAGAAATAACAATGTGGAGAGACAAATGAAAAAGTAGGTGCCAACAAACTAATTAACTATTACATTTACTTGAGCAAATCAACTAATAGAAAAAAATAACCGTACAAGTTAGTAAGGTAAGTCAAATTCCAAAGCTCATTCGGGATTGGACCCACAACATCCAATGCATAAACTCTCCTGTAAAATTACGACGTTCGGAGCCAAAAATCAACATAAAATGATGTTTCAAAGACAAATTTGGAATCGTTTAAAGTAAGTAATCAAAATCAAAACGATAGAATTGGGTGAGAGTGTTTTCAACCCTACAACCAAAGAAAAGTAGAGGGGAACTCACAGTGCAGTAATGCGGCAAACGGTACGATTGTTGAAAGAGCAATCACATTTAATACCCGGATTGATATCGCGAATTGCTGTATCATCAATTGCAACTCCGCTGCATAATTCGCCGCTAATGTTCCATCTTTGACTTGTTCCAGAAATTCCCCAAAGCTGAAATATAGAGTGCAAAGCTCTTGCTGCAAAATTCGAAAGCATGTTACGATTACGATTGCTGTTGACCCTAAAAAAAGGTCATGTGACATGGCCAACAGAAAATCAGAAACTTGAGTCCTTGTAGATTGAATCGCAATATGCTCGCATCCAACTACTAGCTATATTGGTGAATCAACACCGGGAATGGTTTACAGCACCTTTTAGGTTGCTATTTTAGGTTGTATGATGCATAAAAAGGGGGTCAGCCTTCGGATGTAATGGAGAGAATCAAGATTTACTTTGAATGTGTAAATTTGCATTGTCCCCTTCAACGTATGGCCTGTAGGCTTTTTATATCTCATGTTGAGTCAACGGTGCCCGTTCGATGGTAAAAGATCCAATGGTCCTTATTAGAGTCAATCAATCAATCAAGCCATTAATGCATGGATCTCCTTATCTTTTCCCATAACATAGGATCTGCTGACGTAGGCGTGTAGAGACAGCACTGGCAGGGTGTTGTCTTGTCAATCATTTCGTTAAATCCGCTGTTGGTTGACTTACCAGCTCGTCAGGAGCGAGCGACGCCTCTACCAACGGGGATTGAATGAGAAGAGTTCAGATTGGGATGGCTTTATCATATACATGGTCGCCTGTTACTACACCACCTGTGGGCTCATCCGCTTGCCACATAGCCTTTATTTTTACAACTATTTATATGAGTAACATCAGTCACCTAAGTCCAGGTATGATTATTCATATCTTGTGTGGACTTTGAAGCCCGATAAACGATGGAATCGAAACCTATCACTCGCCTGCCTGGGGCTCCCCCGTTTCTTGCTTGAACTCATTAAGACAACGGGGCTTGCATCAATAAAGGTAGTTCTTCATCTCCTTGTTGAGGTATGAGTCCCTCATGCGGATGAATCGTATGAAGGCATAGCCCTTGTGCTAACGAACTGCATTAAGGCAGAGCCCTTGTGATGATTTGGTGAGTGCTGATTCCCAAGGAGCGACGCTAGATGTTCTTGGTCATTTCCAATGCTCGAGCAACGTGCGCATTTAATGCGTAATGATGATGACATTTCATCTCTATCCAGATACACGTGAGTTTTGGGTGCGTGTGCTGTACGGGTTGATTTGGGCCTTTGGTTCGAATTTCGAATGGGCGCCTTTTGGTTTCTGTGCAAATGATGGGGTGACATGTGGATGATTCAGATTAAATCGGTGCAATATCCAACGGTTGGGGGGTTCATTAGGTAAGCCTATAAAAGGCAGGGAAATCACACTTTTTGCCTTTTTTTAACTATTTCGAAGGTTTGAAATCTCAAGTGCAAAGATTCTTCTCTCCCAGCCCAGCAACTTTTCGTTTTCGTCGGTGATCAACTGTTTTCACTCTTTCGAAGGATTTGATCCTTGTTAGGTTTTTGCGTAAGTACTTATCCTTTGCTGTACCAAATTCCTCTATTCTTTTCTTCTTCTTTGTTTTGATGGCCTCTGAATCTGAGACTAGTGTGGAAGGGGGTTCTCCTGGGATAACCTTGGAATTGACCTATACTAAGGTGGGAATTCCTTCGGTGGTACCCACTGGGCAACTTGAGGAGACAGTGGGAGGTCCCATAGATGACAGTGTGAGGTGGGGGGCCTGTCTATGGCCAACAAATATTAAGGAAAATGAGCTTGAGGGTTTTAGGGATAGGTTTAGGATCTCTCACGACGTCGAGTTGCTAGTGCTAACCCAGGAGGAAAGAGCCTGCTTTCCTAGGGAGGGCTGTGTGGCAGTGAGCGATGCGATCTTAAGTGGGGAGATGAGGCTGCCATTACACCTTTTTCTTTAGGATTATTCTTAGAGAGTACAATTTGGTTCCCACCCAATTAGTACCAAATGCTTGGAGTCAGTTGGTGGGGGCCTTTTTCCTTTGGAAAGATGTAACATTCGGTGGGGATATGCGCCCATATGTCTTTCAAACCCTCTTTCAACCTCGGGCTTCTAATGGGGGGGAGTGACTGTAAAGGGTGGTATTGTATGAATCCCTGGGGTCCACATTCGCCCTTCATCCTGGGGACCCATACCTCTATCAAAAATTGGAAGTCGTCCTGGTTTTGGGTCAGGGGTCACTAGCAAACGATGGAAGGGGATGTGGTCCCAGAGATTGTCGTTCCGACCCAGTATCACGAGTATAGTAAGTCGAGCTCTTTTGTTGTAGCATTTTGTCTTGTTTGTTCATCCTTTGTTCCCTTTTTATGAAAGTGAGTTTTGTGCAGGTGCGGTTGATCAATTCGAGCTTGAACCCCTCGAGTGGACAGCGATCCGAGCCATTTACGAGCTCCCTTCAGAAAAGAGAACGTTATCGACAAAATGACCCTTTTCGTCATTCATCAACTGATGACTACCAAGGATAAGGCGAGATGATCCTTCGCTTTAGCATTTTGTTCTTGGTGTGATTATTCTAAAATACCCATATTCTTTGTAGGTCAACACGATAACAAAGAGCGGGTGAGGCCCACCTTGCTTCAGTTGAGGAGTCTCGGAGAGGCTCAAAGGAAAAAACCTATGGGTGTTGGCTCTTCCTCCTAAAAGCACGAGCGAGATGAATGGCTCGCCTTTCCAAAACCAAACCACCCCCTCCCTTTGAGAAGGACGGAGAGAAAAGGAAGGAAAATGAGGCGGAGGCCTCTTTGGATCGGCCCCTAAAGAGGAAGCTGGTGATCACGAAAATAGTGGCCCCGACCCCACTCGTAAACGACAAACCACTATTGGGGAGTCCCTCGCCAGGCCTATTCTTACGGAACCGATCTCCTCTCTGAAGGTCCCACAGGCGGAAGAGGCAGTTGAGGAGGGTCCTTGTGAGGAAAAAGAAAGTAGGGGAGGTGAGGAGTTCCCAGTTTGGGGAAAAATACAGAATTTTTTGGGTGGGAGGCCAGATGAGATAGCTCCCACCGTTATGGAGATGTTTCCCTCAGAGGTCCAAGGAGCGAAGCAGCGAGGCTTAGCCATAAGTATTTTCTGATGCATATTCTTCTCATGCTGAGACCTGTGAAGTAGTCGACCTGATGGAGGCTGGACTTGCCATGCAGGCTTGCTCCCAAAATTTCTTTATAAGTGCTCAGATGGAAGCACGTCATATGCAAAGGCTTGTCCAGGATTGCCACAATCGAGCCCAAAATACCGAGTTTAGCATACTTAAAGCCAACATTGTGGCCTCCACTGCAAACAAAGCTGCTGAACCTTCTAGGCTGAAGTGTGCCGAGGCTGAAAGTAAAGTGAAGGCTCACTCCAAGGAAAATGAAGAGCTAAAAAAGGAGACCCGTCTATGCAAATCTGAAGTGGCTGTCCTGACTAAGCGGGTCGAAAATTCTGATGCCCTTCAAAAGATTTTCGCTTCAGCCTTGGAAGCTGTCAACAAGGAAAGTGGGAGCTGAGGGTTCGAGTTGATGAGCTCAACATTGAAGTCTCCAACCTTGGCGAGCAGTTGAAACGGGCTGGGGAGGCGGCGGTGAATGAATATGTTGCCCATTTCTATGAAACTGCGGAGTATGAGGGGCTCGAGATCCACTTCAGGAGGGTTGCTTATAATGAGGCCTTTAATAAGCTCTCCGAGCTCCATCCTCAACTGGACCTTGCTACCTTGAAAGGGGAGTTCCTTCATACCGAGTCCTCTACTCCTACCAACGAGGTTGAGGATTCAGTTGAGGAGATTGCCCCCCCTCCCCCTGAAGGGGAAAATCAGCCATGGGAAGTTGTTTCTTAGGACAATTTGTATTTGCCTCAGCTTCTTTTCTCTTATATTTTGAAAGATTTCAATGCAATGCAACTCGTCTTTTCGTTCTAGTAATTCTTTCATTATGAGTTCTGCGAACCAATAATTAATAAACTTATTGGCGAATCACAAAGCGTAACTAACTCATTGATAGCAATTTTATGGCTCACTAGAACTTTAGATAATTAACCTCGAAGGATGAACTAGTCGTGTCATTGACATATGAGCTTGTCACTTTAATAACTTATGAACTTGTCATAATTAATCAATTTGATGGAGATATGGGCTCATTATATTTTAACCGTTGATGGAGATGCGTATGAGCTCTTCATACTTAATAGTAATTTATGAACTTGGCATAATTGAATAATTTGATGGAGATATGGGCTCGCCATATGTTAACCGTTGATGGAGATGCGTATGAGCTCGTCATACTTAATACTAATTTATGAACTTGTCACAAATGAATAATTTGATGGAGATATGGGCTCTCCATATATTAACTGTTGATGGAGATGCGTATGAGCTCGTCATACTTAATATTAATACACGAAGGAAAGTTTTTATTGATCACAAACGATGTATACAGAGTGGAACCTTACTGGTAATACATTCGGCGGTACTCCACATTCCACGGATGGGGCTACACCTCCTGTCGAGATTCTCAATTAAAAAAGTCCCAGGCCTGACCTCACCTGCGATGTGATAAGGACGCTCCCAATTTGGGCCCAATATGCCTACCTTTGGTTCTTTTGATGATAGGAACACCCTTCTAAGCACCAAATCGCCTCTTTGGAAAGATTTGCGTTTTATTTTGCGATTGTAGTGCCGCCCCATTTTCTTTAGTAAATGGCCAATTTATTCTGTGAAGCCTCTTTTTTCTCGTCAAGGAAGTTGAGCTTGCAGTGCCTTATTTCTTCGTTCTAGATTTCGTTGAACTGTAGGCATCGAGGTGACAGAAGGCCTACTTCAACTGAGCTCATGGCCTCTGCTCCATAAGTCAATGAGAAATGGGTCTCCCCAGTTGTCGTTAGGCTGGTAGTGCGAATTGCCTACAACACATGGGAGAATTTCGTCCACCCACGCTACTTTTGATTCGTCCAACTTCTTCTTCAGAAGGTGTTTTATGATCTTGTTGACCGCTTCGACTTGACCATTCGTCTGGGGGTGATGAGGGGAGGAAAAATGCTTTTTGATACTCGTCACGTAGATCCCGAATCTTTATGTTGTCGAACTGTCGCCCATTGTCTGTGACTATTGAGTAGGGGATTTCGAACCGGCATATGATGTTTTTCCATAAGACTT